AAATAAAATTCGGTTGAAGGGATTTTGATGCATTATTCTTTTTAATTTCAACCTTAATCCTAACAGTTTTATCCTTTAGCTTAAATCCAAATTCAAATATCATAATTTATTATTTTCTTTATCCCTAACACATAAAAATAATTACAAAAGAGTAAATGAGCCTTGTTTGGGTTGAAAATCTATACTATGTCCAAAATTTAAATTGTAAACCCAAAACCAAACAAGCTAAGCCCAAAACCTAATTTGAACAGACTCGAGATTTGAAAGCATTCTAAATGATCTCAGACAAAATAGAGTGTTTACAATATTCTTGGTTAAAAACAAAGTCATAAGACAAAAGTATTAATAACATTATGTCATGATTAAATATAGTTTCGAATTAAAAGGAGTAAGGTTACTTTCATGAACTAAGAAATGAAATCAAACTTAAATTTTCTAAAGGTTTGAGAATATTTAGCAATTGTAAAGGTTTTTTTAAACCTATGAACCAAGAAATTAAAAAAGAATAAGTGCAAAGGGTTATGCACATAATAAGGCATGTAAATTCCTAATTTACTAAATCTAAAGATCTCAATTACAATTTCAATTGTGATTGAGTTAAAGATACCATATTTTTCACAAATTTAAATTGCTGAAATAAGTTCATATGAACTTAGAAGAAATTCTTAAAATAGAAGAATATAAAGACCTTGTAAAAACATTTAGAAAGTAAGAATAAAGGAATTATATGACTTAGATTTCATAAAGATTATTGTTTAAAGAACAAGAGAGGTTGCATATGAACCTCTACAATAATGTTAATTATGAAATCTAATTTAAAGTTTTATTAAGACAAATAAAGTCTTTATAAGTAGCATTTTTTAAATAAGCTATTTATGATTGTTTTACAATCATGGATAATAACATTTTCATGTTAATAAGCTTAATGTCCTTGTTACAAACCAATAAAGGTTGCAAATGAAATTTCATAGAATTGTTAAGACTATGAACAAAGAATTTAGCTAAAATTGATTTGAGAATTTATATAATATAGAATAATTATACACACCATAATATAGTGTCTACAAAAGGGATGTTTATTGCATTTATGACAATTCACCAAAGAAATGTGAAATTCACAGATTCTTAGAAAGGTCAATTATTTTAAAAATTAAAGGTGTATATATAATAATCTTAAAGGTTATGGTTTTCAAGAACATGTAAATTATTTAAGTTCTTAATTGAACTTAAATTCTCAAGAAATGATAATATTTTTTGAATTTTGATTTTTGTGATCATATAAAATATGATATGTTAAATGCATTCATAGTAAGTTTAACAAGATATCTTCATTTGAAAATATGAAGATAACATAATAATTTTGGTATGGATCAAGAACTTCTTAAATGCCAAAAGGTTGTTTATGAAATGAAAAGTGTTATACATATGATTTGGGAATAAAATGTTATATAAAATGTCATCTTGCACTTATATAAATGACAAAATGAAATTTCCTAAGTAAATAAGATTCTAAAAGAATTTATTATTGTCGAATTGGTACAACAATAGCAAAGAAAAGATAATTGCACAATATACAAAGGTAAATAATTAATGTATGATTAAAAATATACACAAGGTGAGAAATTACTTTGTGATTAGTAAAAGTGTAGTAGATTGATGATCTAATAAAGTTTGCAATGAAAGGTTTTAAAATAATGTAATATGACATTGTATATTGAAATTCTTTAGGTAATAGAAGATAAGCCAATGCAAGATTGATTACTAACATGACATTATAGTAATATGAAAATGGATTGATATGCGTGAATGGTAGGGGTAATGTTTCTTTGAATTTAAAGAAATAAGAAAATACCAAAAAATTCTACTATTTTGATAAATTTATAGTATTGGAATTGGCAAGTAAGGAATAAAGCAAATCTAAAATACTTTTAGGGTCTAAACTAATATACTACAAATTGAAAGTGATAGTAAGTTAAAGCATAACTATGTATAAAATTAACAAGAGTACACCATATATTTTGTCAAAGCCAAGATTACAAATCCTTTGATAAAGGAATTTTATTGGAATGATGTCTAGAATTTTTTAGGATAGGTAACAAGCTCAATAATTTAGTCACGCATGATTGAACCTTAACTTAATGTGTAATTGCACTTTAAATCTTGAGTTTTAATGAGTCAAAGTACATCATTTGGATGTGACTGCAAGTATTTAAAATAATGTAATCCCCATATAGATAAGTACTTGAACTATATGTTATAAAGGAATGTTGAAATTAAACTCTTAATGGATTCATAACATGTCAATATAGTGTTGAAATGCTTATATGGTTGCATTCTTGATGGAGTCCACCTATATGAGAAGTAGTGGTATCACTTATAGGAACAAAGAACTTGGCTCTGAAGCACTCATGAATATACATGATATATAACCATTGAAATTATGTTAAAGTATTGCTAAATGATAGTTTAATGGGACATTGAAGTCTTGTATGTGATTCAGTATATGACTATTCATACAATTGGTTATTCAAAGATCTAAGTTCTATCATTCAATTTGATTAACTCAACAACACTTTATCACTAAAGTAAAGATTTTGAAATCATATTATATGATATCTTCACTTATGCATAAGATTTTCAAAAATACTGAAGTTTGCCCTATTTTAAAAATGGATAGGGAATGTTAGAAATATTTTCAAAATTTCTTGAAGGATAGGTAACAAGCTTAATAATTTAGTCACGCATGATTGAACCTCAACTTAATGTGTAATTGCACTTTAAATCTTAAGTTTTAATGAGTCAAAGTTCATCATTTGGATGTGACTACAAGTATTTAAAATAATATAATTCCCATATAGATAAGTAGTTGAACTATATGTTATGAAGGAAGGTTGAAATTAAACTCTTAATGGATCCATAACATGTCAATATAGTGTTGAAATGCTTATATGGTTGCATTCTTCATGGAGTCCACCTATATGAGAGGTAGTGGTATGGCTTATAAGAACAAAGAGCTTGGCTCTGAAGCACTCATGAATATACATGATATATAACCATTGAAATTATGTTAAAGCATTGCTAAATGATAGTTTGATGGGACATTGAAGTCTTGTGTGTGATTTAGTATATGACTACTCATACAATTGGTTGATTCAAAGATTTAAGTTCTATCATTCAATTTAATTAACTCAACAATACTTTATCACTAAAGTAAAATTTTGAAATCATATTATATGATATCTTCACTTATGCATAAGATTTTCAAAAATACTGAAGTTTACCCTATTTTAAAAATAGATAGGGAATGTTAGAAATATTTTCAAAATATAAAAATAATATGATTAAGTAAAGACTTAATCAAAAGAGATATAATGTTAAGTTAAGCTATTTAATTGTTTAAGGTAATGTATCGTTGTCAATAGGATTGATTCTAGACTTAAAGAATCAATACAATAAGGCTTACTATAAGAGCAATCGATTGCATTAGCAAGAGCAAATCGATTGTCATATACTAGTCTTTAGGAGTAGTTGATTGCCTATACTAGGGAGTTGACTATTATATAAAGGTACGTACAAAACTTATCTAAGGATCAGTCGACTACTTACCCTAGGCAATTGATTGCTATGATTGGAATCAATTGTTTTAATTTTGAGCATTTTAGAATTAAAAGAAGTCGATTGCTATAAGATAGCAATCAACTACCTTGCTTTAGGAGCATTTTAGAAAGATAACTTTCAAAGAAGTAGTCAACTATCTTTTGAGAGTAGTTGACTGCTCTAGTTAAAAAATGTAATTTCATAAATGTGAAAAATGATTTCTATTGAAATGAGAAGAGGGATCATTAAAATGAACTAATATAACTTTAATGATTCATAAAGGCATCCTTTTTATTAAAAAAAAAAAAAGCAATCTTTGATTGAAATAACACAATAAAAAAGTCACAATCTTAGGATTTAATCTTTATAAATAGAGATTATGTATGTTCATTTGTAAGGAATTGAATAAGTTCAATGGAGTTGATAATTTTCAAAAACTCTCTTTCACATTATTTCTCAAATATATGGTTTGTTTCTTTGGCATTGTTTTATTGCAAGAATCTTGTTAAAGGTAAGGAATTTTCGTCTCTCATTAAGGAGATTTTAGTGGTTTGATTTTTCTAGTGCATGGTAAATCAAATATAAGTTTTATTATATCTTATAGGCTATTGATACAATCTTTTTGCATACCATAATTGATAGGGATAAAATAATCTTTAAAAAAAGTGGCATTTGCAATTCTTTGAAGTCAATTCATATATCCTTTGAAGCTTTCATCTTAGTTTCAACCAAAGTTTGAAAAGGAAGATTACAATTAAAGATACAAATGAAATATTATCATCAACTACTATAAATTCGTAAAGTTGCAAGTTTTGGAACCAACACAATCCATATTTGTACTTAAGCGAAATGGTGAATAAAAGAGTGAAATATCTGTTGTTACTTTGATGGCATGGTGGTTGACATGATGAATCAAAATACTTGATTAATAATTTATTAAAGTATATGGACTCGATTTTAATAGATTAAGGTATTAAGACTAAATCTATCATTTTGCACAAGAACATGGATGAATAGTACAATTTGACTTTTTATATTTTCTTCATATATATGTTATATTTAATACTATTAATTAAACTAATATTTAAAGATAAATATGTAAAAGATTTTAAATTTTCATGTAGTATGTTTTTTTAATGAATTAATATTGAAAGACAAATATAAAGGATATTTTAAATTTTTATTAACTCTTAAAGCTACTAATAAGGTTGAACCTTAGGAATACACCCATTCCAAACCCATCAAGCTTAATTATCTTATAATTTGAGATTAATTCTAAATGAGTCCCTGTTTCATTTCAAAAGAACCAATCACTCCCTTTGATTTTACACAAGCAAATGTTTTTGTAAGAAATATACTTTTTTATTTTCATGAATAACTTATTAAAATAACAAAGTTTCCATCACCAAACATTAGTTTCCTAGTGGACACAAACAACTAAGCCTTTCCTACAAGGATTTTATGCTTCTTTCATATTAGAAAAAGAGAGATAAGAATGTACAACAACCCAGTTTGAGAAACATTTCATCAAATATGCAACTCTAAAACCATTGGTGCCCTGAACCAGTGATTCATGGTTCTTGGTAAATAAGCCATTAGTGGACAGCACACTAGGAGTCTAGGACTGGTCTTTATTTGGTAATATTTGTCAATGTCCATGAAGCACATACTCAACGGAAATATTTACAATAGGCCTCTAACCTCTTTTCTTACAGCTGAGTACCAGCTCCACCAGAAATAGCTCTCCATCAAACGCAAGTCCGGCTGCTTCTGCTGCTTCTGTAGGCTGAAGTAATCCATCCACCATTCCACCATACACATACAAATAACGCCCCGAATTATCCACGCAAGCTTGGTGAAATGATCTGGACTTGGGTTTATAACCCTCGGCTCTAAGTCTCTTCCACATGTTTGTCAACAATCTCTGGGAGCTTAATCTAGCTGGCTGCACTCTTTCTAATGTTATGGCATTAATGTCTAATAGCCAAAAGTCATCCTTTCGGTGCCTCTGTGAATCTTCTCCGCCATGAATTAGCAGTCGTCCTCCTAAGATAAATGTAGCTGAATGGCCAACCCGTGGGAGAGAAACTCCTGCTGGTATGTTTTGCAATTCATAAAATATTTGTACCCATTTTGAATAATCCTCAGACATATCCAAAAGCCAGATATCATTCAGCACCTCGTAACCCAATCCTCTCCCGCCGAATAGAATTGTTTGTGCTTCCCCTATGTGTGTCAATGAATGTCCTGAACGAGCTGGAGGTGAGGGATGACTCACAATCTCATGCCATGTTCCGAAACAAAGATTCCCTGAGAGTTCTACAACCCATGTATCACCCAACCTCACGGCATTCAGACCAATTCCTCCATGAATAACCATCTTCCTGTTGCTTATGCAACATGCAGCATGGGCTCCACGTGGAGGTGGTGCTATTGACGCCACATCTAACAGCCTCCATGATAATGAGATACCAAGGTTCTCGTGGAATGCTACTTGCCCCACCCATGTATCATTGTGACGATCCCCCCGGTCATTGAATCCTCCAAACAGAACAAGATAATTTTCAATGACAACACATGAATGCCCAAATCTACCACTTGGGATACCTGAATGAATCTTCTGCCACCTTAACATCCTCCCAAAATTATTACCAATGTATGCAGCCCAAGTGTCATCAAGATGGCGTCCTAATAGGATAAAAAATACACTCCAAAAAGTTATGATATCAACGAGATAACAACGAAGAGAGATGGGGATTTTTCTTACCATATAATACTGGCTACACATCGGTCAGTGTCAATCCCCCCAACTACAAAACGTATGTAAAAATTCAGTTGATCGTTTAATGGTTGTTGACCACGTGTATTTTCTTTACTGTTACCATAAAAGTCGCTACAATAAATGGGAAATCGCTGAGCTTGCCTGATCCTTATATAACTATTCTTAGCCAAATGGCTTTAGCAATTTAGTTTTAACATTAGTTAAGCTCTGCTCATGAGAATTGTTGGATAACGAAAGTATGATTTCACTTTATTTAGAATGATATTATATGCTAGAATTAGTGTTTCATTCAGTAATTTATTCATTTAAAATCAATTATGATTTGCAGTCTAACATTTGCTTTTATATAGTAACTTTAAGAAAGAAAAAAAAATGAGTAACAAAAAGCAAGTAATAACAACTATACAAGGTCGAACTTGATACAGCATCAATGCTTGGAAAATGGAATAAAACTGTCCTTTTTAGTATCAATAAATGAATTTTGGCAAGATTGAAAGTTAAAAAAAATTGAATTTGAGATTAAGTAAATTTGATTCAAGTAAGGTAATTTTTTTTTTGTCAATTCAAAAACTTTTATCAATTTAAGACTAACAATCTCCCTATTTTTTATATGACAAAATTAAGTAAAAATTTTGCTTAAAAAATATTTTTTCATTAAAAATAAGTTCTCCTGAATTTAAGCATAAAAAAATTTTAAGAGATTTTAGACTAATGCCAACAAAATGATAAAGAGAAATGCCTAAGAAGGTTACTTTCATCAAGATGTTCAACTTTTTAAGTACATAGATGTTTGAATTCAATGAGATACTACCAAACGATAAATTTAACCTGATTATTTAAAGATAATAAAAATTTTAAATATGATACAATGATATAATACGCAAAAAAAAAAAAGCGACTTGATATAAACTTTTAGCAAAAACATGAGTTTAGGAAAAATAAAAAAAATATGTTTTATATTTGGTGTGTCACTATAAATTTGATATAATAATTTTTATTCGTGTTAGACATGAAAAAAAGAGATGCGAAATTATGGATATAAGAATTGCCAAATCTACTTGAAGGGCCAATTAATAGTGTTATTGATACTGTTTTCACTAGATTCAAAAGATTAATTACAAATTTCTTTCCTTAAATATTACCTTCCATTATCCACTAGTTAACCGTTCCTATAGATGTACTTCACTGTTATCCAATAACAACTTCAAAAGAACCTTAGGGACTTAGGCCAGTTGATATTAAAGCACCACATACACATTTTACAACAGAAACCCATCAAAGAGAACAAGATATATGTCATCCTAGGAAACATGCACCAAAAACAAAGCAAAAGCAAAGTTAGAGCTTTATATTATCTGTACTAGTGACTGACCTCCTTCACAGCCGCCACCAAACAAAACCAGGCAACCAGACACAAAATTGAGAGAGTGAGAGGCTCTGGGGCTTGGCAACGTCAAATCAGAATCTGGGTCAGAGAGCTTGTAGCAACAAATTGAGTCAAGTTGAGAGACCTGCTTGTATAGCCTAATCCATGAAAGCAGTTGATGATCCTCATCACCATGAAAAGAAGACTTAAGGGCATCTACAGCAGTAGTTCCCCAATCTCTCCTGCATATGGACTCCCACAGAGCATTAGAACTTGCCAGATACCTGAGTTTCTTACAAGTCATGGCAAAGGATAGAATTGACTCTATAGGAAGTAAAAGCAAGATTGTAAAGAGATGGTCTGGAGCTAAGTTAGCTATAGGTGATCCATTATTGAAGTTGCTGTTAGTAGCACTGGTGCTAGTTTCTGCCATGGAAAAAGTGGTTTGTTTTGTTTTGTTGGTATGATTGCTTGAATTATATGGCTATGGTTAGTGGGAGTGGGAGGTGACTGTGATTTTGGGGGCCATTGTTTGGAAAGCTCTAAAATGGGTCTGGTTTTGTTGGAATTGCCCATGTAGAAGGAAAATGTTAAAATGGGTTGGGATTATTATTCTCATTTTGTTGGGATTGTCCTGATGCTCTAGGACAACGTTAAATTTGAATTTGATAGCTTTTATTGGGATTTTGTTTTAATTTTTTAATTTTCTATTAATTCGAATTTACAACTTTCAAACAACAACAAAAATCTTATAGCTACTGATTCAAATATCAATAAACATGGATTTGTTCGCGGTGAAAGAAAATGGTTTTTTTTTTTTTTGGTTCTTTTGGTCGTTTATGTCTTTATGATAACTGTCAAATGGTGATGAATTTGTCAAAGTGGAAATGGTAAATTCAGCAGCAAGTAAAGAGATAGGTGGGGGCCATAAAGATTTGGCCATTTGCGTTTGTGTTGTGTCTGTGATGTGAACTTATGAGCTTTACTCGGACGCGTTGGCGCATCTTGCACAGAAACGTCCACAGAAATGGCTACCCAGCGCCCTCCGTTTCTCTCTAGTTCCTCCATCCAACTAGCTTGAATACGAATAGAATGTGAAATAATTTAAATTCAAATCAATTCAAATATAAAATGCTTTTAAAAATTAGCTCAAATATTTTAAATTAAATTAATTTAATTTTAAAGGTCAATAATTTAAGCCTGACAATGAACCGTTCTTCAATGACCTACATCTCGCGACTGTTGCCTCTCTCGATAATATATTTGAGCCACCCGCCTCCCCAAATGCTTTTATTTGTGCAAGCCGCTATGCCTAAAATGGTTTGGGCTGTATTTAGATTGCCGGTTAGCATCAACGGTGCAATCGTGCATTTTTTTTTTTTTGAATTGTATCGTGAATGCCTTTTCGATGGCTTTTTTTGGTGAGATTAACTCTATCATTTCTTCCGTTAGAGACTGAAGATTTTGAGCTGCATTGGACAAAATGAAGGTCTAGTTGGAGTTTTTGGATCATAATGCTCGTATTGATTTTTTTTTTTTCTAAAATATTCTAATATAATTTAAATTTGTATATTTTATTATATGCTTTATGTTTATGTTTAATATTAATTTACCTAAATAACATTTATAATTGTTATAAGAAATATATTTCAAATATTAAATATTTTAAAATATTTTTATAATTTTTAATATCTAAAACTCTAATTGTTATTTATATATACAATAATATGCATCAAAATTTTGATTGAATAAAATTGTTAGGATTTTATCTCATATAAAAATAATTATAATTAATTATTAACTCATAAATGAAAAAATGTACAAAAAATTTTATTACAAATATATTTTAATCTAATATCCTTAATGATAATTTTTTTTTCACTACACTTCGCATTACCTCCACTGTTACATTTATATCCAAACATATATACCACTAATAATTTTATTTTCACTTCTACAATTATAAATCTCATTGCCACTACTATTTTCAATATCATTGGAGCCAATATCATAGTTCATCCAAATAAATTTTTGAGCAATCAAGTTTTGTATATATCCCATTTAGTCTGAGATCAATTCATATTTTAAGATTAGGCTTTAATTTTTTTTTATATTGTATTTAGTTTAGAGTTATTATTATTATTATTATTATTATTAAAAAAAGAAGTTCAGGTAAAACCAAATTGGTTCAAGATTGGAGTTCTTTTAGATTACAAAAGTTTTGATTGGAATAAAAATCTAAGCTTCAATTGAAAATGAAATTGAAACTCTTTTCGATCAAAAGTTCTGATGAATTTGAAACAAAATCCTTATAAATTCAGCACCATAGTATCAAAAAGAGTGAGGGAGTCTCTATTAAGCCAAATCTTGCAAAAATTTTCACCACCATTGTTCACCAATAAACACCCAAACACACACAAATAGGAACAAAGGGCAATCGGCCAAAGAATCCACAATTTGCAAATCCCATATTAACAAAACCATCACTAATACTATTACTGGAACACCATCCACACCATAGTTGTAACCTAGAAGCAACCATAATCCTAGCCATAACCCATAAACCCAGAAAATCAATGAGCCACTTAAACTGCTTTATCTCACCACCATTCAAATTACCATTACCAACAACTGAAAACCCAACCTTTCATCACTGCTAGCCATACAACAAACAATAAAGGCAGAAATCAATTTTGCACTCTTATCATTCAACCACCATCAAACACAAAATATCACTTGCAAAGCAACCATTTGAAGACCTGCAATATCAATCCAAATCGACAACAAGCGAAATATCAATAAACCTAGAAACACAGCAATCAAATATCAACAAAGACAAATAAAAAAAAGAACTTTGTGCAAAAACCTTTGTTTTGTCACTGACAATGCTGGTGAAGGCTTATTGTGACTCGAGGATTTTGAATATCAGAAATGATAGAGGTATAGAGCGTGGGAAGTACAACAACATACTAAAATCTCAATCAAATCTGACGATGGAAAAGGCTGAAATAGGGAAAGAAAAATTGTAGCTTAAGTTTCATATCTACGTTTTTAGGAAGTGATTTACGAAAAATCAACCCAAAATTTGAGATGATGAGGTTATAGAGAGCTTTCAAGTGAAATTTGAGGGCCAACGATGTTTTGCGATGATGATCTACAATGGATCACAATGGTTAGAAGCAACCGAGATTTGGGAAAGCTTAAAGCTAGCCGATGTTCTAAAATTCCTATCATCAAGTGAGATTTTATATCTTCGTTTGGGCTAGTGAAACACTCTCACTCAAATTGAACCATTTTCACTTATAACCTATAATAAGTGAAGATTGGAGTGTCTTACTAGTCAGTGATGGATAATGATATAAGGAACAATTTGGAAACCTTTAGAGTTAACCCAAACCACATGTAGTAAAACATAAGAAGCCAACTTTAGGTTAGAATGTAACTCTACTTAAGACATATATGTGAACTTTTTGAATTACATTTGTATCAATTTTATGCGAAATTTTATTTCATCTATTATTTATTATTAAATTGTTGCATGTCATATTTTAATACAACATCATTAACATGCATTCATCCGTGCATTTTAATATGACAAACATTAGAACATGCATTCATTTATCCATTCTTACATTGTTGTACATATATTCATGTGTTTATGCATCATGATTTGTTGTGTCAAACATTCAATACATTAATTCATTCATGCATATAAGATCTTTAAACAAGTTAGTTTTTAAAAATTTTTAAACACTTAATAATATGAACATGCCAATTATGGTATACCAGGCTCAAGAATAGCTCCGTCGTCCAAAAATCCCGTTCAACCAACTCACCATCAATACAATACTAGAGTCCAAGCTAGACAAATAAAGTAAAAAAACTCTAATCATTTTGACGAGATAGAAAAAGCTCAAAAAGAGCTCAGAGGGGAGTTGAATAAAATCTTACAAGCTTTAAATAAGTTAAATAAAAAAAAAGAGGTATAAAAAGCTCTAAGTCAACCGAAGCATCTAGTGCAAGATGTTATTGATCCTTTATACCCTAAAAGATTCGGCTCTTATCAAGGCCAGCCTTCTTAAGGGATACAAGCAAATTTTTTAAGGGTATATCCATACATCTACCCAAGAATGCAAACTACTACTACATAAGGTCAATTTCAAAGTTATATTAATCTAGTCTTTAGGGAGAAAGCCTCAAAACCAATCAGGTCCTAATTTGGATGATCCAAAAGAAAATGAAAAGTTAAAGTTAAAAGTGGTTGAGTCATTAAAAGACTAAAAAATTGACCAAAAGATGAACATGATTAAAGAAAGATTACGAGTAGTGAAAGGAATCAATTTTTATGGTTCTATGGATGCTGTTGGGCTATGTTTAGTACTAGACATTGTTACTCTTCCAATATTCAAAGTTTCAAAGTTTGAAAAGTACAATGGTACAAAGTGTCCTATAACTCATGTTATCATTTACTGTAAAAAAATGACTACTTATACTAGTGATGAAAAGTTGTTGATGTATATATTCTAAGATAGCCTTATAGTTCTACGACAAAATGGTATGTCTAGCTTAATCGATCCTACATTCACTCTTAGAATGAGTAAGCCCATGATTTCATTAGTCAGTATCACCATATAATAAATCAGCTTCTGATCATTTTTTCTTGCAGAATATGAAAAAAAAGGTAATCGAGTCATTTAAGGAGTACATCCAAAGATGGAAGGATGTAATTGCTAAAGTTCAATTGTCTTTAACTAAAAAAGAGATATGATTGTTGTTTATAAGATTTTAAAATCCCTCTATTATGAGAAGATGATAAGGAATGCAATAAAAAAACTTTACTGATATGATGATTTTAAGAAAGGTTATTGAAAATGCTATCAAGCGTAACAAGTTTAAGGAAGATGAGACCACTAGTATAAAGAAAAAAGGGATGCCTAAACAAAAAAAAAATTGAAGCCCATGCTGTAAATTTTGAAGGGAAACAATTCAAAAGCTATGCTCCATATCCATCACTTGTTCATCTTGCTTATTACACCATAATTAATAGTATTGCACAAGCTCTTTACCAACCTATTTCGCAACCAGCTTATTAATCAACTTACCAACCAACCTTTTAAATACTTGCATATTGGCCTAGTTATATCACTACACTAGTTTTAAGGCCTAACAACCAAGCGAGTGGTTTGAAAAGATCTCAAAATAACCAAAAAAAAAAAGCTTGCATTGATTCTATCCCCACAACTTACACCAAGTTATTCTCAGAATTGGTGAAGAATAACTTGGTATTTGAAATTCAGTTAGAACCATTGAAACCACCTTATAGCAAATGGTATGATGTTAACGCCACGTACGATTACTACAATGAGAGTATAAGTTATTTTATAGAAACATATCTTACTTTCAAGCATAAAGTGTAAAGTTTGATTCGAGCAGGCTTAATGAGTTTCAACGAATCAAAAAAGTTAAATATCAATAAAAACTCTTTGCTCGATCACCCAGAGGCATAGTTTTAGGAAAGAGTACAAAAAGGCTGGTTGAGATGTTTATCATTTTTTGATTTATTTTAAAGTAATGATAAGATTTCTTCTATGTACTAAGATTTTAATTTTTATCATTTTAATAAAAAGGGCAAGTATAATGCATTTCATTATTTTTTTTTAATCCAAACCACTATTCTATTTTTTGTATCATTTTTTCAT